CAAAAGATAGAACAAAGACAAAGACAAATACTAACTTGAAAATCGCAACGAGAGAATAGCAACGCGAAATGAAAATCGCAACGAGAGAATCGTAACGCGAAATGAAATCTAAGTGAAATGGTTAATCTATTATTGAGATGACCAGTAAACTTATCATCAGTTTCAATATGAAAAACCTACAATAATGCAAACATTTCAAAATAAAAATAATTAAAAAAACTAACCCTCGGAGGTTGATTTTCCATTTCTGAATATTGTGAGGGATTTCTGACCGTGAATGGTTGTGAGGGATTTCGCCGGAGATGGGGACGGAAATCTTCGGAGATGGGGACGGATTTCTTCGCCGTAGAGAGTGAGAGATGGAGATGGGACTGAGTTGTGATTTTAGGTTTTAGGTTATGAGTTGCGATTACGGGATTTTGTCTTAATATTCGTTTTTGTAATTTGAAAATAAAATACGCGTAGCGATTATAATGGCGCTTTAAATATCGCGTTGCGATTTACGGATACGCGTTGCGATTTTATGTATTATCGTTGCGATTTACCGATACGCATTGCGATATACGGATACGCATTGCGATTTACCCATACGCGTTGCGATTTACGGATACACATTGCGATTTACGGATACGCATTGCGATTTATGTGTTCGCGTTGCGATTTTCATATTCGCGTTGCGATTTTTGGAAAATCGCAATGCGAATTTGACTATCGCATTGCGATTTTCAAGAATCGCGTTGCGATTTTGGAAACTGATTTGCGATTCTGGGGATCGCGTTGCGATTTTTATTTCGCGTTGCGATTTTGTTGGTCATTTTGGCAAATCCAAAAAAAGTTGGTTAAAATCGTATATTATAACTTTTTTTTGGTCACTGAGGCGATTTTCTCTTTTAAAAATGATTTTTTGGAAACATATATAATATATAATTTTTGAAAACATATTATTTTTAGTTTTTTGTTATATATTATATTAATATTATTTAATTTTATTCTATTATTATTATTAAAAAAATTATTTTTGTTTTTCAGGCCCAATAGTTCATTCGAGTCCAATGAAGCCCAACCGATCCATGCTAGCCTGACCCAAGCAAGCAAGCCCAGTTTGGGCTTGATCCAACCAGTAAAGATTAGGGTTTTATGAACCCTAAAGCAATATAATAAGAGCACCTCAAGTCACACCGGTCAAACAAGGAACAACCAGTGAAATGGTCAGCGTAGTGCACGAGAGTATGAAACGATCAAACAAGGAACAGCCAGTGAAATGGTCAGTGTAGTGCATGAGAGCATGAAACGGTCAAACAAGGAACAACCTGTAAAACGGGATTACAACAACCCACAACATCTCAGTTAAATCGGAACGGGGGGAATGACCCCAAAATAACTGAAAACAGCCCCGAATGGGGGCCTTATAAATACCTGCAACTAAGAGAACAACCACACAAGATTTAACCACAAGGAAGCATACACAGTAAACCGAAGTAAACCAAGCCAAGTAAAAAAACGTTTGAATATACAAAAACCATCATAAAAATTCAAACTTTCGTCGAAGTCTGCTAGGCGGGGAGGAACACGGCCGTGAGAAACCCAAAAGATGCCAGAAATCATCGAATCTCATCGGAAAAAAGTAAATATTGAAGATATTTTCTTAGATCTACGACGGTGGGGCATTATTTGAACATTTGAACTTCGGTTCTGGGTTCATGGGCTCGAGGGGATTTTGTGGGTATAGTTTGATTTTTTTCGGCCGCCAGAGGGGCGATTGACGGTGGCCAGGGCAGTGACACCCCCACCAGGGAAGGTGACCGGGCATAGGTCGATGGGGGAAGATGGGATAGAGTTGAGAGAGTTTGGGGGTTTGGTTTAGGGGAAGGGGTGAGAAATAAATGATTTTTGTGATTTTAGGGGTATTTATAGGGGACTAGGTTGTAATTTTGAAAATTTTAAATTATTTCTGCAGTCACTGGATTTTTTATGTGAAATTCATTTTAGTCACCTGTTGTAAATTTGCCCTTGAATTTTAAATTAATTCTATTTAATCCTCGATTTTATTTCTTATATTTTGCGAATTAACTTCCTAACTTTTATTTCTTCCCTTGCAGCTCTCAATTAACATCAATTTGACCCCCAATTTTAAATTCTTTCCAATTTAATCCTTCTTTAATAATTTTTTTCTTTTAATTTAATTTTTTGTTATTTTGTTTTATTTTATTTAACATTAGTTTGACTTTTTAGGGCAATATTAACTTAGTCAAAGGTAAGTAATTTGGATCGAACTTTCAAATTTTAATTTAACCTTCAATTTTTGCAATTAAGATAACCGAGAAATCAAATTGGTACCGAAAGGGCAGTACAATGGTGTTAATCCTTCCTTAACTGTTATCGACTCCCAAATCTTATATATTTTTGGTAAAACGCAGATAAGGTAAAATGGTCAATTAAGTTATCCGGTCAACCTAATTTTAAATGATCGGTGGCAGCTCTAACACATTTATTTAAGTCGAAGCCCGATTATGGGCCCACCCGAAGGACGGTTACAACAGGAAGATTCAATTATGTGTAAAAAGTTATATTTTTTAATTATTTTTTAAATAGAGGACTTATTTTAATAATAAACCTAAAATAAGTATTCAACAAGTAGGGGTGAGCGTTTGATCAAGTCGAGTCAAGTTAAAAAAATTAAGTTATTCAAGTTAATGAATTCTATTTTATAACTTAAACTTGATTTAAAAAAATTTGAGTCAAGTTGAGTTTTTGAGATTTTGTTTAAATTTATTTGTAAATATTTATAATATTATGATACTATTTAATTTCAATTTAAATGATTTTTATAATCATATACAATATATATATATATATATTTATTCATGTTTTTCATATGTGATATGTCACAACCATTTATAAATAAATTAATTTTAAAAATAATTATCACTTTATTTTGGAAAATTTGGATTTTAGTTTAATTTGAAATTCGGGGTCGTCATTGACCTTTGGGTTAGGTAGATTGAATACCTAAAAACTTGTCTTTTTAACGAATTAAAAAAATCATTGAAAATAAGAATTAGTCTGCGTATTACTAAAAATTCATTTTTAAAGGGTTTGAGAGTCGATTACGTGTGGGGAATGATTAACACCCCCACAACACCCAAAATTAGTACCTCTCAAGTATACCTTGTTTAAGTAGTGGAATTTTATATATTTGAATTCAAAATTTAAATTATGATCATTTTATTTTGATGATTTTTCGAAGAATGAGTGAAACTATTTTAAAATATTTAACGTGATGAGAATGATTTAATTCACTCAATTTAAGAAGAATGTCTCCTTACTACGTGGATTAATAGAAATTGAAATCCAATCATGTTGGACGTAATTTCGTTAACACATGGTGCAAGACAACATTACCTTTGATTAATTTGGAAAACAAGGAAATAAATGTATGATTCATGAGTGCGACAATAATGAATATCATATAGAGGATGACTGAAATATAAACATATTATGGAAAATAAACAAATAAACTGAAATAATGAAATATTAAAAATAAATAAAATAACACAATGAATATATATATTCATTAGAATAATTTACTATATGAAAAAAATAAAAAATAAAAGTGTGTTTATCTAAATTGAAGCAAATCTTATAAATAAATATTGAGTAATTATAAACTTCATTCAAATAATCATATGAAGGACATTTCAAATTTTTAGAGGTCTTCCGTAAATTAGTCAAACAATCGAAGATATCACAAATACCCCGAAACATTGAAAAGATTTAATCATAAAATATATTACATATATAATATAATAAAAATATGTATAGTTGACATATAATGTAATATCATATATTAAATATTTATATAAAAATATGAAAATATATATATATATAATAATAATAATAATAATACATGGACAAAAATAAAATAAATAAAATACAGAAGGTCATCTAAGCATTTAATTCATACTATTTCAAATTAAAATAGTCAGTAAATCGAATGCAAACAAAATTAAAAGGACTTAAAACATAAATATGACATTTTCTACATACAAAAATGCTAAGGATCAAAATGCAATAAGCCTAAAATTACCTCCTCAAACCAGACATTTAATCAAAACATACCATCAATATTTAAAAAGTAAAATGTAAATCTAACAAAATTCGAAGCTCAAAGCATAAAGATTATAACTTACATTCAGGGATCAAAATGAAGGAATTACAAATCATGGATGACCAAAATAAAATTAACCCATTGTGCTAAAACACGCTTTTCCCTACCATAAACGACATCGTTTTATGGGTTGTATAAAATCCCAAAATAAGATTAAAATCTTCAAAGCCTTCCTATTTTTCTCTACCTTAAGGGGTGTTTGGTTCAAGGATTCCCATGGGATGAGAATCCTACATTCCCATGTTTGGTTGGCCGGGAATCTCATTCCCGGTAATGTTTTATTATCAATAGTAGATTTTTTGGGGTATATTACCGGGAATGTCATTACCTCACTTCCCTTATGTATTGTAACATTACCGACGTTTTGGAATAAAATGCCCTTAAATTTTTTTTCAAAAATATCCTTCTTTTATCATTGAATAATAAAAATTCTACGAAAGTTAAATTACAAATTTATCCTTAAATTATTTTAGATTTACAAAAAAAATCTATAATTAAAATTTTATATAAAGTTCAGGATTTAAAATTTTTTTTACATTTTCATTAAACCTTTTTTATATCTTTAATTTTGTAAAAAAATTATATAAATATTATGAATTTAATTTTTTAAAGTAAATATATAAATATTTTACAATTTGTAATATTATACAAATATATAATAAGGACAATTTGGTCAAATATACATTATAATAATCTTTTATTCTTTTAACCAAACACGGTAATCTTACATTCCTGCTAAACTAACCAAACACAAAATACAACATTCCCGGTAATCCTATTCTCTGGTAATCTTTTATTCCCACTAGTAATCTTACATTCCGTGAACCAAACGTAACCTAACAAAATGAGTTGAGAGAATTCTCTCAAAATATCCCAAAGCTTACCAGTGTTCATGCTTTCCAGAATCCGGTGAGCCTCCATCGTCAGGACTATCGCGGATCGACACCGATCCTCGCTCGTTGACGTCGAAGAAGTAAAAGAGGATCACCGATCGAAGTCGATTCACGCCTTGAGTTCGAATTTGGGCCCCAATTATCCTAGAATCGCCTCTAGCGTCGTGCATCTAAGAAAACCATTTTGTTTTTTATTTTCGGTGAGCCCTTTGACTACCCATCGGAGAATAAGTGAGGCTAAGTCTCTTTTCTCCCTTTCTACCCCTTTTCTTTTTTTTATTTGTTCGATTCTCTATCTCCCGTTTTTTTTTTCATTTTCTCTGATTTTTGCATGGGTTTGTTGGGTTTTTTTGTTCGAATCTTTAATGGTTGCCCTCTATTTTTCTCAACTTCTCTGTTGCATGTTTATATCCATGGTCTCTACACGTTTGGTGCAGGCAGAGGCATAAGGGTGATGATGGTGCTCCCGGATTTTCGAGATTAGTTTTGATTTGATTTTCTGATGGATCTGTCTTCACTGTAGTCAATGATGACCGGAGGCGGTGGCGGGCTTTTCAATTAACAGTGGCGGCGACGGCATGCTGGATCTAGCTTAGGCAACAGCGGCGGCAGCGGTTGCACAGCAGGTCTAGGGTTCCAAAACCCTAGTCTGAAGCACATCTGGCCGTTGGTTCAAGCACAGATCCAACGAATGATGTCAGGTAGGCTTCTGTTGGTGAGGCTGCTGTTGTGGGTTTGCTTTGTAATATTTAGATTTTGGGTTGTAACCTAAAAACAAAGTATTAAATAACATTAGTTATGTATTATTTTTTTTACTGTCTATATTTTGTTTATATATATTTAATATATTAACACCAACTTAAAATCACAAACATCATAAACCAACTTTTAATTACACGAATTAATACTCAACTCACATACTAATAATAATTATCAAAAACAAACAATTAAAGTTATAAACTATAAATAATCTAATAACCATAATAATATTAAAAATGACTTGGACAAAAACCAGTGTCAACAATATACACATATCATACATAATCAAGGGATTCACATCAAACTTGAAAACTAATCCACTAATTACAAAAAAATTTGGATTATTAGAATTATATTTTATAACTCAACTTTAACTTAATTTTTTGTTGAATCGGGTTGATTTTATGAAATTACAACTTAAAATTAATTTGAGTTGAATTTCAAATCAAATAAAAAATTAACTTTTCAAGTCAAGTAAAGTTTTTCTAATCTCTAACAACAAAAGCCAAGTTTGTAAAACGTTTTGTTCTCTTTTAAGGTTGTGAGCAGCACATCCTCAAAGTTTTTCTGACCACTCTAAAGAAAACCTCAGGATATCAGTCAATGCCTACACTAAAACAAAACTATGATCTTTACAAAGGAGTGTGCGTAGTAAGACTTAAACTTTTGAACTATGATCAGACTTGAGCTAACTAATATAAGAACAAAACATTTTTCTTAAAGAAATTAAGACATTAATATATTTGTTCATCACAAATTAAACTGCTTCGATGATAAAGAAATTGTTGTTATTACTTGAGAATCTGAGTTTGAACACCATGAAACTAGGAGTAGGAACGTTCAATGTTAAATGGTTGAATGTTATCTTTAAATAGATATTAACTTATTTTAAATAAAAATAGAATATTATAAAATTTATATTTATTGAATATCGAATACATATGTTCTCAAATAAAATATTTATATTTCCAAAATTACCAAAGGGTTAAAATAATTTTAGTGATTGATCCTAATATAAATAAGTGACTTTGTTGGTTAAATAATTAAAGTGGAAATTTTTTAGGAAATATAGGCGTTGAAAATTTAATTTGGAATCTAGATCATTCATCATAGTGTGTTTGGAATTCGTTTTGTGCAAATGACGAGTTTCATAAAATTTTCATTTAATTAACATGATGAATTTTATTATTTTATAATACTTATCGTATGAACATGACGAAATTCACGTATATTTTATTAAATAATTTAGATCTCAAAATAATTTTTCAGTAGCTATGTTTTTAAATTTTTTATCGTTTACAGTATTTCTATATTATATTTATCGATAAAGGGTTAATCTTTTCAAAGTCAATAATATAATAGGTTATGCATTGTATATGCCGTGTAAATCACACTAAACGTCCTTAAATTATCGTTTTAAGTTTTAAATTTGTTCTTCTTCTTCAAAAAAAAGTTTTAAATTGGTTATAAATTATCAAACATTCTAATTAATTGGTGTTAGACTATCTAACATGTTTACTAAATTTCGATCATTCTAAGTGATGTGAAATGTGGCATTTTATCATTTAACATGACATACAATATGCTGATAAATTAAACATATATGGAAACAATACATTAATAATATATGTTAACTAATAATTTTTAATATAAATTATTTTAATAAAAATATTAAAGGGTAAAGTACATAAATGGTCCCCTGATTATATAGTATTACTTTATTAAATCTCTCGACAATTAAAAGTTACAAAATGACCCTTCGACCATAGAGTGTTGTTTTGTTGAGTCCTTCGACTATTCATTATGTTCTGAATTCGTCTTTTTCAATTAAAAATGTCAAAATTTTGAGTTGAACATTAACATGATGATTGGGATATAACAATCGTTTGAGATTCTGGGATCAGATTTTATAATATCACGGTCATCAGGTTAACGTTCAATTCAGATTGTCGTCAATTTTTAACGGAAAATGATGAATTTGGAACATATGCATAATCAGGTAACAATTTTGTAACTTTTAATAGTTGAGAGACTCAACAAAGCAACACTCTATAGTTAAAAGATCATTTTGTAACTTTTCATAGTCATTGACTAAATAAAGCAGTGCTCTATGATCGGGAACTATTTGTGTACTTTACCCAAATGAAAATGTTAAAAACTAAAATATATATTTTAAATCAAAATATTTTTTATTAATATAAATCAAAATATGAATTTATATAAACTTTTTTTAAAGGCGTTTATATAAAGGCTTATATCATAATAAGTACATAAAGTATATTATCTTTTTCATTCAAGTACTTAAAGTAGTTTTTGATTAAAATAAGTATCTAAAATTATTTTTTTATCAAAAAATTACCAAAAGTATTATATGTAAAAGATTTAGGTATCTAAACTATTCAAATTTTGTATCTAAGTTTAAAAAAAAATTGACATGTGGTATTAATTAAATAATATTTTAAGTACTTAAATGAAAAAACGAATATGATATGTACATATTTTGATTAAAAAATATTTTAGATACTTATTTTAACAAAGAATAATTTTACATATTTATTTTGTTAAAAATACTTAGATTTAAATAAAAAATGATATACTATAGGCTGCCTTCTATAAACAAGTAAATGTAATTTAATCGTTGAGATTTCAAAACCTCCACGTACGAAGCTTTCCAGACCCACAACAGCGAACAAACAATCAGGGTCCGTCAGCAGCCCAAACTCTACGAAGCTCCAAAAAAAATAGTAATAAGCGGTCAGTTTCACAAATTTCCACTACGTGTAGAGCAACCGCGATTTCAGTATTCTCACCCGCGGTTCCTACTACCCGCCGGCCTAACTGTCACTCACCTTCGGACATGTCACACGATGCCCCCCTCTTCTATCTTTTTCTCAGCCGTCCACCAAGGCATCCGTACAGAATGTTCACGTGACGGTAGAATGTGGCGGATTGTGATTGGGTAAACATCGATTTCTCAACGTGACTGTTTGGGATCAATTAATTAATCACAATTCCTTTTAATTTTAGAAAAAGGGTGACGGTTTTGTTGGCGGTGCTTCTTCAAAACGACACGAATACTGGGTCCCACTCATCGACGCAGCCCACGCTTCTAACTTTCCAATTAATTTCCATTTTTTTAGGTGAATTAATTTCTTGGGTAAACTATACTTTGTGGTCACCTAACGTTTAGAGTGATTTCAGTTTAGTCAGAACAATCGAAAAACTTTCACTAAAGGCGCTATTCTTAATAAAGACTTCTACTTTAAATAACTAAAGGAAGATGATATGACACATCCACATATCAACAGAAGCTGAGCCACAATGCCTATGCTATACATCGAATATTTAGTTCGACAGTTGGATATTATACACCTTTTTGAAGCCCAAAACTATATTCACAATAAGGTATTTTCTAATTTTATTTTATTTTCTGTCACAATATAACCCACAATAACCTCGTTGTATATATTGTTCTTAAGTTAAACTATGACTCTAGACACCCGTTTTTGTCCGGGTTTTTTTTTATTTTATTTTATCTATTTAATTTCATTTATTATTATTATTATTATTATTATTATTATTATTATATTACATCATTTTGCAAGCCCATTGGAGGCCCAATACACAAGCCCATTCGAGGCCCAAAACATCATACAAGCCCAACTAGACCAGCTAACCTACCCAATTCCGGTTAAAACCCAAGCCCAGCACCAACACAGACAACAAAGGCACAAGCAGTCCAAACCAATGTTATCAAAACCGGACCGGACCGGCCGGTTCGACCGATTGAACCAGGAACCGGTTGCATGTCTGGTCCTGTCAGCCTCCAAAACCAGTTTTGCAATGAACCGCTAAAGAACCGGTAGAACCGGCTGGGAACCGGTGTGAACCGGTTGGGAGCATCCAAAACCGTTGTAAATCGACGGTTCTTTTTTTTTTAAATTAAACCAAACGACGTCGTTTGTTATGATTTTTTTCAACCCCAAATTTATTTTACTTATATAATTATCATAAAAAAACAATGAAAGTTAATCTTTGCTTGTTTATTTTAGTTATATAATTATATTTATTATTTAATATGTTTTACACTTTTACTTTTAATTGTTAAGTATTGTTTGAGAATTTAAATTTAACTTTGTATTTATTTATCATATTGCTAGGTGATGAAGATCTTGATGATGTGGACTTTCAAGTTCAAAGTGATGCTATGGAGTTTCAAGTTCGAAGTGGTGATGGCGGTGGTAGTTCAACTAATGAAGAAGTTTTTCCCAATATTTTGGAATTTGAGGGAATCAATTTCAATGAATATTATGATGATTGATACTTGTATCAATTATGTACTTTTTTTTATTTAGTTGTTGATGAATTTCATTAGGTATTGACCTTAAATATTATGTTATAGTTGATTTGAATCATTTTGTTTCACTTGATATTATGGTATTTAACTTATATATGTTATGATTTGTGATATTTTTATACATTTTAATATTGTGAACTTAAAAAGAGTGTTATATATATATATATATATATATATTAATATTGCTTTGAATATTATGTAAAATTTTAAAAAATATTATTTTATATAAACCGGTTCAACCGCGGTTTAACCCGGTTGAACCAGTGAACCAGTACCTTCACCGGTTTAAGATCCAGTCCGGTTTTAAAAACATTGGTCTAGACCACTCAGTGACCCGATCCAGTAGCCCCTCAACCTGATCCAAGCCCAATCCGACCCTACTAACCTAGGGTTTCATCATAACCTTAGGTGGTTCTGTCACCGCTGCCTGTTGCTGTTGCTCCTGACGCCACCGCCGTCGACAAAATCTACATCCAACAGTGACCCCAAATCATATCAAACAACCAAACAAAATAAAAATAATGGAAATCAAGTACAAATGCTATCCTGATGCAATCCCCACGGTAGCAGTCTCAAGGCAAGTCCATCAAATGGCATGAAATAATCAAATCACAAGCAATAGATAAAAAGAAAGCAAAGAGGAAATCAGGAGGGGGTCATTCGGGTATTCGGGGAGAGTGAAAGAAA